AATATTTAAATTTAAAATTTTATTATATATTTAAATATAATTAATTTTTAAATTTAAATATTAATATTTAATAATATAATTTTTTTAATTTTAAATTAAATAATAATTAAATAAAATTAAATAATTAAAACTTAAGACTCTCGATTTTTTTTAAGTCGAGGCTTACACGGTACTTTTCTTGATAAATATAATTTTTTGAGAAATATTTTTTTGTATAATTTTTTTATTTTATTTTTTTGTATAATTTAAAGTGTTATTAAATTGATTAATTTTTTTAATTTATATAAAACTCATAATATTAAATACATTCACTCATTTAACAACACGAAAAAATTGAAATTATATGAAAATATAAAATAAAAAGGTTCTCTCAATAATACCTTCCTAATTTTTATTGGATTTATCTAATTTATATTTTATAGATACATGTTAAAATTTATTAATTATGATATATTTAATTGATTTATACAAATTTTTTTATTAAATTCATAATTTTTTTATAAATTTTAAAATACAATATTATTTTATATTTTATATTTTATTTGATTTAAATCTTATATAGAAATTTATATAAAATTAATTATATACACCACAATAAATGAGATTAAAGGGCAAAGTTAGAAAATCCTTTTTTTTCTTTTATGACTCATATTGAAAATTTTAAATGCGGTAAGTCCTAGAAAAAAAAAATTCTAAATTAATTAAAATGGTTTATTACCGAACAAAAACTCTCTCAAATTTCTGGTGTTGAGACCCGACACAGCAGTCCAGCACAAACCTCATCGACGACGACAAGAAAGGAAGGAATCCGACCGTCCTTCTCTCGTTATTCTTGTTCCCGTTGTTATCGTCCTCAACGGCGACGACGTATCCCAGGAGGGTTCTTTCTCTTCACGTTGTGATAACTTTATTTATTTTTTTACTTATTAATTAAGGAATAAATTTAAATAAATCAAGTGCAATAGTCCGTCTCCCCTGGGCCGTTTCTTCCCTGCAAAGAACAGAAAATTCAAGCTTTCGGCGTAAGCAGTGGTTTCTTTATTGCTGGCCGCTTAAGCTCTCTTGACTCCCTCTGCAAACCTTTCTATCTTATTATACCATAGCAAAAGGTGAGTCTTTTATTTTAATTTTTTTTTTTAATTTTGTGGGAATTTTTTTCTTCTTCGTTTGATTAGCTTTGTTGAAGAAATGGCTTCAAGATGATGGTTTTATTTTTTATTTTTTAAAGAAATCTGATTTTCAGAGCGCCTATCGTCTCAAAGTTCAATTCTTTGGTGTTTTTGTTTGCTGTTTAAGCTCTGACCCCTCTTGGATTGAAAGCTTAATTTCTTTTCGGATTGGTAATTTTATGATTTACACTTGGATGTATTGATTTTCTGCAAATTTTACGTGAATTAGTCATTAGTGCACTTTAGACAAGATTTCTCTGCTTTTTCTTTTTTGATTCTTCTTGTCAAAGCTATTCTTGAGTAACTGATGACTTTTTAATTGAGGGGTTGTAACTGATTGATACTACCAAGTCAGAGAAACGTTAAGTTCTACAGGTTGCTGGGGAAGTTTATTTCTTTGTTGATTAACATAAAAGAATCTATCTTTGTACGATGGGGTTAAAGATAATTTCTTTGAAGGATTCCCCTTGCAAAAGCCAATTTGAACGAGCTCGGCTTTCTGGGTTTTTCTGTCTATGAAGATTTAACTTGTAGCCTGCTTTTATCTTAAACAGTTTTTGATCCTTTCATATGTGTAGATATTGCCCTCAAAATGGAACTTGATTGCTGTTTTTCTGATATGTAGTGTATAGGGTAGAGGAACTTTTAGGATGTCTAAGAATGAAGACACTGTTAGTCCTGGATCTGGATGGGGCGCTTCATTTTTCATGCAGACAACGGAAGATGTTGCAAGAGCTGTTGCTGCAGCTGCCACGGCCATGAATTCTTCCCGGCCTTCGTCTGTGTTTTCGTCAAAAGATGAGAATAGTGGTGGCCAACTTCTGAAATTACGGCACCAAGTTGCAAGAGTACTAAAAGGCTTCTCACAGCCTCCTGAAGTGAAAAGTGGAAACTACAACCCAGAGGTTCTGACAAGCCAAAAGCGTCAATGGGCAAGCTTTCAGTTGCAGTACTTGGTATGATCTTCTTTCAAGTAGTGTACCTCTTATTCACAATGCTACTTGTTTATGCAGAAAGAGTTTCTGTGAGCAGTTGTCTATTGAAGTGTTTTGGTTCTTTTCATATAGTTGTCTTCTCCTGCCTGTTCCATTTAGAGTTTTAGGTCCAGCATTTACTGCTCTTAAAATGAAGTTATTGCATTCTTATCTCTGTATACTTTTATTTTTATAGTGTGGACTCATTTGTGTACTTTGAGGCTGATATGTTACCTAAAAATTCCTGTATAGGTGTTTCTTACATCCTTCTTTCCCTCACAATACGTTGTTGAGAAAAGAGTGGAAATTCAATTTAAAGTTTTTTGTAACGTGTTTTTATTAAGTGTGCAGGATCATAGGTCTTTGAAAGAGCCATCAAGGCTTTTTGAGAGCATGGTGGTTGTTGGACTTCATCCAAATTGTGATATTCAGGCACTTCAAAGCCAATGTATCACCAGAAGATCTGAAGGTTCTGGGAAATTGCGTGGTGCACTTAGTTATCAGAATAATTCTCGTGTAGAGCCCAATCTTGAACCCCAGGTGAGGTTTTCTCAAATTATGTATTATTTCAGGGGGGGGGGGGGGGGGTGTCAGTGTGGTGCTGGTAGCATTACGTTTTGACCTTTTTCTCTCTGATTTTAGGTCTTATTTGTTTACCCACCAGAAAAGCAACTGCCTCTTAAATACAAGGATCTTCTTTCATTTTGCTTCCCTGGTGGACTGGAGGTTGGCTATATCCTTTATTTTTTAAGTTATTTTCCCCTTTTAAAGTTAAACTCTTCTGGATGTTATTAAACAGTTCCATAGTTCTAGTTTTCCTGTTTTAGTTTCTCAATCAATAGAGTCTTACTGTTATGTTTATTCAGTTCTTATATTATTGATTCTTAGTTTAGTACTTATCCATGATATTTGTAATAAAAATTTGAAAATTAAATGGGGTTGAGATTGAGATATAAGTTTATTGTGGAAGCTAGTCTGTAGGTATCTTCTTGGACAGCATAAGAAGTTAACACCGTTACGTTAGTCTTCTTCTGTTAAGGTAAGGTTTTATGAGAAATTTTGAGTTAACTTCAAATCTTCTGGACACAAGCAAACTAAGAGGTGGCTTCCCTTTTGCTTTTCACTTAGTCTTTGGTATTATTAAATTGTTTTATTGATTAATATTTGTCATTCAGTGGCCGGAGATCCATTCTCTTTCGGTATTAGTAGACATGTTCTAGGAATTTGCCATTGCAATGTGGCTACCTGATTTCTGCGGTCATAATTTTCCATCTTAATTTTGTTCTTTTTCTTTCTGTTTCTGAAGCTTAGTATGTTGTACTTCAGGTTAATGCTGTTGAAAGAACTCCTTCCATGAGTGAGCTAAACGAAATTCTCCTTTCACAGGTAAATCTGCTAAAACATAATAATGCCAATATCCCCTTCATGATAGATCATCTTGTGTTGTTTGTTTATACCTTCTCAATGATGCACCTTCTAGGGTGTTAGTTTGTTGTCCCATTAAGTTTCAGATTTGTTTAAGAAATTGGTTACATAGAAAAATCTTCTTGTATTTTTCTTGGATCAGCTATAGAAATTTCCATTTTTGCAATGTTCATCTCATCATCGGGTCATATCTCTCTTTGCTATGGATGATGTTTACCCTTACACATATACCATAGTAGCTGTTTCCTTAGTTTGCTAAAAAAATGTCCTGTTTTCTTTAGTCTTCAGATAACCTGCATGGAATACAAGAGACTTTAGACCTTGCCAGTTAATCTTCCAATCAATACCAAGTCTATGGTTCTTAAATAGATTTTTAATGTTCAAATGTATTCACATAAGTATGCCTTATAGTCCTGCATCACATCATGTGGAAATATATTGGTTTTTCATATCATCTAGGCAACTTGGGTTACTTTTACTTGTAATTACATAGACATGGATGCATATGTGTAAATTTGATGTCTCAGTTTTTATCAAATGTTAACGTTTGTCATGAGGTTGTCTTGCAGGAGCACCTAAAACAAAGTGACCTATCATTTGTCTTCCGGTTACAGGTAATCTTTAAAGTAGAATGCCTTTTATGCTCTACGTTCTTGTTCTTTAATATTTTGGTCTCCAATCAATCAAGTGCTTATGATGATGATGATCTCTTTCCACATCAAATGTTTCTTCTTTCCTTATAAGTTGGAACCAAGGCTGATTTTGAGACCCCATAGGAGCAGGTCCTTTTCTGTGGTTAAAATATTGTTTCTTGTTGAGTTTTGAAATCTTAAGTTGTTTAATCAGCTTGTTATCTTTTTTAGATTTCTAACATGCGTAATGGTAATCATAATCTCCAAA